AGCCCGACGCTTCAAGAGAAGCTTGACAAGATCAAGTCCCCCGGTCTTCAAAGTCAGCAAAAGGTAAAGGATTTACCCACTTACACCCAAAGTCCGCTATGGTCATTGGAGCTAACTGGGCTGCAGAACTCTTTGATCCTCGAAGCTGTCGAGGCGACGTTAAAAGAGCAAAAGACACCCCAGACGGCCACAAGCTACTTCGCCGCCCTCCTGGCTCTCCTAAACCAACCGAGCAATGCCAACAATACCGAGATCCTCACTTCCGTAGTCTACCTCCTCGACGTCGTTACGCCCTTCGCCCCGCAGCCCCTCCTCAGGGCCAAATTCACCCAGATCCTCACCGTTCTCGCCCCCTTACTACAGCGCAAAGATGCCGAAGCCATCCTCCTCCGGTCGTCCATCGGCTGTCTCGAGTCGCTCCTGCTCGCCCAGGACTCGTCTGCGTGGGAGCTTTCCGTGTCCCAGATCGGGCCTCGAATGGCCGTCTTCGACCTTCTGAACCTCTCGCTGAACCCGAAGCCCAAGGTCCGCAAGAGAGCGTTAGATGCGTTGAAGCACGTCCTTAAGACACCGCCTCCCAGCCCTTCGCTCGACCACCCCGCCTCCGATATGTGCGCGCACAGCGCCATGAAACACCTAGAAAACCTCGCCGAGGCCGCCGCCCGACAGAGGAAACACAAAAACTCTACCGATCAGGACCCGGCTCTCGTACATGCCCTGCAACTGATCAAGGCCATCGCGAGCTCGAGTGGTGGCTGGCCGAGCAAGCAGATCGAGCCGCTCTGCGAGCTTCTGCTGCGCATCGCCAAGTCTGGAAATGAACATATGACTATGGCTACCTTTGATATATTCGAGATGATCTTCTCCGGCATGGCCGATGAGGTATCTTCTTCCAAGCTCCCGCGCTTGATGGAGATTATTTCCGAGCTGCAACCTGCGCCGAACGATACTCAACTCGTACCCCCGTGGTTGGCTATCTTGTCGAGGGGTTACGACGTATCTGCCCAGGTTGAACCAGACGAGACGTTCCAAAAGCTCCCTGATCTCTTCATAATGGTGTCCAAGTTCCTCGAGACTCCCTCCCAAAATATCCGCATTTCTGCCTCGGAGTGCCTAGTGTCTTTCATGGCAACTTGCGTTCCTAGGCAAGTTATCCTCGAGCCCTCTATCTACGACCAGAAAATCCTCGAGAAGATTGCCAGGCAAGCGGAATCGCTTTTGAGCGTTCAGTACCAAGCCGCGTGGTTGGAGACTTTTAGCGTCCTCGGCGCCATGTACGACTCGCTGCGGTGGGCGGCGTACCCCATCATGCTGAACATCACGAGGCTTATCGGCGAGATCAGGGGCAACGACTCCTTCCACAAGAAGAAGCAGGCCGATGAGGTCATCGGAAAGGCTGTCCGATCCATGGGCCCCGAGGCCGTGCTCTCCGTCCTTCCCCTAAACCTCACTAAGCCCGTTAAGGGCCAGCCCGGACGTGCTTGGATGATGCCCATCCTCCGTGACTACGTGAGCAACACGAACTTGGCGCACTTTAAGTCTGAGATGGTGCCGCTAAGTCAAGCCATGTTCCAGCGGGTTCTCGACCACGGCCAGGCCGAGAAGACGATGGAGGTTAAGATCTTCGAGACTTTGGTCAATCAGGTTTGGTCCATCCTTCCGGGGTACTGCGACCTTCCTCTAGATTTGACGGAGGCGTTTGACCAGGGCTTCGCTGAGATCCTGGCGAATATTCTATATCAGCAGGTTGACTTGAGGTTAGATGTCTGCAGGGCGCTGAGGATGCTCGTGGACTCGAACCAAGCAATCGCTTCTATCGAGGAGGAAGAGGACGACTTGATTCTCCAGAGCCGCGTTACAAGAGCTCAAGCGAAGGCGAACCTCGAGTACCTGGGCACTTTCGCCGCCAATATGTTGGCTGTTCTATTCAACGTCTACACACAAACTCTACCTCAATCTCGCGGCCCTATCCTACAAACGATCAACGCGTTCCTCAGCATAACCCCAAACAGCGAACTCATGGAAACTTTCGACCGTGTTTCCAAGCTCCTCGCCGCCGAGCTCCAGCAAGAGCCTCCCAAGGAGAAGCCCAAGGGCCAGAAGCAGGAGGACAAGATGCCCTCTACGAGCAACACTCTAATGGACCTCGTCATCACCATGTCACCTTACCTCCCCCGAGAGAGCTACGGCGCGCTCTTCGAGATCGCCGCCGTCGTCATCGCCAGGGAGGCCGAGCCCCAACTGCAAAAGAAGGCCTACAAGCTCATCCCGCGCCTTGCCGAGTCCGAGATCGGCAAGCTCGCCCTCCAAGAACGCAACGGCGAGCTCCAGGCCCTCCTAATCGCCAACTCCGAAAAAGTCTCTGCCCCCGCTAGGCGGGAAAGGCTCGCCGCTATCTCTGCCCTGATCCCCTTCATCCCCAGCACATCCCTCCACTTCATCCCCCAGATCCTGAGCGAGGTCGTCATTTGCTGCAAGGAGAACAACGAACGCGCGCGGGAAACCGCCTACAGCCTTCTGGTCCAGATGGGCAACCAGCTCGAGACCTACAAGGGCGCCGTCGTGGACAATAGCAAGGTGTCTCACATGCCTAATGACGCACCACCCGTGACCGCCAGTATCGAGGAGTACTTCACCATGGTGAGCGCCGGTCTCGCGGGCAGCACGCCGCACATGATCTCGGCGTCTATCACGGCGCTGAGCCGTATCCTCTACGAGTTCCACGAGCAGCTGAGCACCCAGACGCTCACGGACCTCGTTGAGACGATGGACCTGTTCCTTACGTCCAATAATCGCGAGATCGTCAAGAGCGTGCTGGGGTTCATCAAGATCTGCGTGCTCCGCCTGCCGCAGGACCTCATGCTCGCGCGCATGCCCACGCTGGTGCCCAACCTGATCGTCTGGAGCCACGAGCACAAGGGTCACTTTAAGGCCAAGGTCAAGCACATCGTCGAGCGCATGATGCGCCGCTTCGGCTATGGCGTCGTGCACGATAACTGCCCTGAGTCGGACAGGAAGCTCGTCGTTAACATCCGCAAGACTAAGGAGCGGACTAAGCGCAAGAAGGATAGTGCGCGTGAGGGCGGCGCTGAGGGTGAGGAGGGTGAGAGCGGTGAGGAGGAAGAGCAGCAGGATAGGAAATTCGATAATGAGTACGATGAGGCGCTTTACAGCTCCGACTCATCGGACGGATCAGATGCCGAGGGTGACGAAGGTGCGAACCGCAACCGAAACAAGGCGCCTAGGAGTAAGAGAGAAAAGGGAGGTCGGGCCTACATTATCGAAGACGAGGACGAACCCCTCGATCTCCTCGACAAGCGCGCCCTCGCCAACATCTCCACGACGAAGCCCGTTCGCATGCGCCAACCCACCAAGTCGAAGGCCAAGTTCGATCTCGACGGCAAGCTCATCCTCGGACGGGACGACGAAGGGGGAGACGCCATGGACGTTGACGACGCATCGGGCGCCGGCGGAGAGTCCGGTGTTGGCGCGTACGTCGCCGCGCTCAAGGGGAAAGATGCCGCACGAAGGATGCGCGGCGGCAAGCTCAAGTTTTCGAATAAGCGCAGCGGAGGGGGTGACGATGACGATGACGATGAGGAGATGGATCGGGACGATGCTATGGCTGTGAAGGAGAGGCTGAATAAGTCGCCGAGGGGCGGCAGGGGTAGGGGTCGACTGTTTAATGGTGGACGCGGACGGGGTGGACATGGGCATGGCCGGGGAGGGATGAGTGGGAAGGGAGGCATCGCTGCTGGACGGAGGGGATTGGGTGTTGAGAAGAGGCGTGGAGGGTTTAATGGGGGAGGAGTTGGGAAGCCTAGGGGGAGGAGGTGAAGCATATGAAGTAGATTGAGATGATTTCATGGGATAGGTTTGTCGTTTTCTTCAAGTTTTTGCTTGGGTTTAGAACTGCAGTTTGTAGGCCATGTGGTCTGGTTTAAAAAGTCATTATACCTCGTCCATCATTAGGAATGATAAAAGCGGTTATAGATCTTATTATTTAAATTGCCAAGATCCACGTTTGAAACAGAAAAAAGAAACAATGTTAGAAGAAAGTCTTGTTCTCTTAGGGAAGGTTGGTTGTAGTCAAGTTCTACATCGCCCGAGAACGCTCCCATGACTTAAATCTACAAGAGTTATAGCATTTTTCATGTATCTCACCATCAAAATTCCATCCTCATCGAAACAACCTCGGTGAACATCTTCGGGCAAGAAAGCAAAAGTCCAGCAGGGTCCGGAAAAGCCGGTGTCAACCCACTGTACCAAGTATTTACTCTTCGCCAGTCGTATACCTCGGGATCCATCGATCTAAGTGGATGACGAGGAGATATCCTGGCGGGGGGGTTTCGGGAACTATTTTTCTTTTCCCATCTTTACCTTTGCGGGGGGTTTGTGCGTCTTTTCTACGTCTTGCTGTTGAGCAATGACTGCACGATGTGGATGTTCTGCTGTAGGGTTAGTGAAAACCTGGCTTTTGGGGAAATGCCAGCCTACGAAGGCCAGAGAATCGGCTTCGGGAGGACCTCCCATGGAGCACTTCACAAAGACGAGGCGATGTGAAATGGCCATTGAGAATATCTCATCTCTTTCAATTCTCTGAAAACAAAAGTCTAGCTTGGCCTCGAGGGAGAGACGTAAAAAAATGAGAGCTCCCGTCTCGAGGCCAAGGCCTATATGCTGATGCCATGTCATGCCGGGTCGAAAACGCTTGAACGCCAAGAGGTATCGTCGGGAACGAAGAAAAAGACCAGACCACATAAAAAAAGAACCCCTCCCGACGAACCTTGTCCCTCCCTTCTCTTTTTTTTCCATACCAAACTCCGATTTTTGGTATCTTCACTTCGTCCCCTCCCCTCCTCGTCAAGTCATCGCTTCCTTGAGGGGGAAATCATGATATGAACCAGAATTCAAGTTTGCGAAAGAGATGCCGTCAATTCATTCCATGGGCCAATGGTTTTTTTGTTTTTGTTGTTTCCTTTTGTGAAAGGGAGCAGGATTTACTCGTCCTTGGTGCGCGTCTCCCGACCGCGCTTGATGTTCTCAAGGATGGCCTCACGGTCCTTGTCGATCTTGAGCTTGGTGATGACGACGCTGCTGGGGTGGATGCCGACGGGGACGCTCTGGCCGGTGGCCTTGTCACGGGTGACGCGGTCGACGTGGATCACGTACTTGAGGCGGTACACGGAGGTGACCTTGCCCTCGCGACCCTTGAACGAACCACGGACAATGGTGACCTCGTCGTCCTTCCTGATGGGGATGGAGCGGACCTGCACAAGCTCAGTTAGCGCATCGACTGGGGAAAATGCCTTGTAGTAGGCAAGGATCGAGGGATATCTCTTACGTTGTGCTTCTCACGGAGCTCCTTGCTGAGGGGAGCGCTCATGATGACACGACGAACGCTGGAGGGGGCATCGAAGTGAGCCTTGCGCGACTTGCGCCTGGAGTTGTGGGAAGCTGGAAATCATTTCCATCAGTATTTGGAACTTTCAACGCGATCGATTGTGAGGCTCTTTCAGAATTTGCTACTCACCGTTCTTCATTTTGTCGGCTGGTGATCTAGAGTTGTGGTGGTTAGTAGACTCGGGATGGGGTTGAACGGAGGAAATTTCTGGGAGGGATATTCTTCTGTGGGTTTTAAAAACAAAGTGATAATTGCGCTGGTGGCCCTGAGCACGTGACTAATTTTTGGATGACCCAGAAGGAGCTGACATAAAAGCTTGGGTGGGGCCGATGTCAATGCCCGGTTACAACGAAATCGCTTTATCGAGGCATCTCACCTTCGGTGGACAGGTCCTCATCCCCAAACTCGTTCACTCGAAAACGGGCGCCTTTCCTTCCTTCAAAGGACGAAGAAGATAAAAAGAAAACCCCTGATGTCTTAGTTCCGTTTCTCCAAAGCTCCATGGACCGGTAAATATACTGCGGCACTCAGGTCAACGGGCCATCAAGCCTCGAGATGGTGTCCAACGCCTCGCCTGCGTAAACATCACTTTGTTTAAACCTTCCTCCAGGTACAGTGTCAAAAAAAAATATCAAATGTAAGCGGCATTCTTCAGCTTTCGAATTAAAACTATTACACAACAGAAACCCGAAATCCTATTAACTCACCGCTCAGAAACGTCAACGGCGCCGAGACCAAGCTGAACCCGCACCGCTGCGGCATTGCCTGAACCTTCTCGATAATTCGCCATACGAACCTCAACCGCCAGATGGAGAGGGAAATCCAGCCGACTCGGGTAGTGGTCAACGCGTCAAACAAAGGCCAACACTGGGCGAAGGCATGGGACTCTCCGGAGGAGGTGATCAACATTGCGCTTGGACTGATAAAGGAGTCCAACCTGATTTCGCTCGACGATGAACCTCTAGAACCCCGATTTCTCGTGAAGGAGAGATGGAATGCACGAACGTTTATTGTATTCGACATATTTCACGACCTTTACGACCCCGACACAGCACACATAGACCAGAAAGATCTTCCTGTCATTCTAGTCTACCTCAGCGAGAAGAAGAGCGTGAACCTGGCAGTGGGAGGGATGGGCAAAGTAATCAACGACAAAATCCGAGAAATCCACAACGATACTGGGCTAGGAAGCCGACCACCTTTCACCGTCGATCACATCGATGGAAAGGTGCCGCGCTATTACAACCCGCGAATCCCCCGACGATGAACAGGCGTGTTGCGGATAACTGGCAATCTCAATCTCAAGTCTATAACATGTTTCATCCTATATCCCTTTCTTGCTCTATTGGACTGCCTCTTCGAATAATGAGAGCGACGGCTACTGGTCTCAAGGCGTGGGCAGGTAACAGTTGGAGCATGTGCCATAAGTGATAGCCACAGTTGAGCCAGCAGAGTATATCCTATGGCCACCCGTTGTACATGGAGAACAAGTTTCCTTGATCACACCGTTGCACTTCGTGCATAGGACTCGGTCCCAATGGCACATGGCGATTCAATAGAATTTTCTACGTGATTGTCAGTATTTATCCATAAGTTCGAAAATTGTTTGGAGCAATCTTGCTAGTTAAGATGTAAGAACTCACTGTCTTGGGAGACTTCGAAACTCGGGCGTCTGGTATAATGTTGCTGGAGAATCATCACAAGCTTGGGAGTATCCTACATAAGAACCAGGCCCCTTATATTTGTAAGGAAGCTTAGCCCATCTGCCAGCCTCATGCTGGGTGTTGAGTAGCGATATTTCGTTTTCATGGGCCGGCAGTTAGGCAGCAGCACACAAGAGATGAAGTTGGTGAAGTCGTACCTCTTTAGATCTATTACTTCAGTACTGAGGTATGTAATAAACTATTACACTCTAATGAAGTCAATTTGTTAACCAGCGGTTATTACTTGCATTGTATAAGTTAAATCAATTTCAATGGCTGAGGGTAGAATTCAAGAATGGTCAAGGTCTACGACATGTCTTCCAAGAACGCCAATCAGTTCGTGATTTTGGCATAACGTTGTCAATACAGAGGATAATTTGCAAAATCCAGTTTTCGTCTATAATGCCTTTTCCTTCTAGTATATAAGGGGAGTGATTATCCAGTTATTCATACAGTTGAGCATCTATATACAATACATACCCACCCTTGGACGGGCTTCTTTTACTCCGGACTTGGTGGCGCCACAAACTTGCCATTGTTGTCATATCGCGCCTCTGCATTTGACAGTTAGAAAAAAGACACTCGAGAAGGTGTCAGGAGATGGAGGAGGGGGAGATCTTACTGAAGAAAGTATAGTTCAAGGTAACAGTCTTAACATTCCTCATGTTGAAATCATTCAACAAATCCGGATCGAGATAGAAAAACACAGGCATATCCACCGTCTCGCCCGCATTCAGCCTCTGCTCCTCGAAGCAGAAGCACTGAATCTTGCTAAAGTACGGCGCCACCTGCGCGGGGGTGACGCTGTACGTCGCGACGCCGATGATGTCCTGGTCGCTCGTGTTCGTCGCCGTGTAAAAGGCCAGCGCGGTCTCGCCGGGGAGCACGCGCACCTCCTTCTGCTGCGGGGTGAACTTCCACGGTAGGACGTCGGAGACGGAGGAGGCGAAGGTTACGCGTATTCGGGGGGCGTCAGTGACGGGCTTGAGGCGGCTGGCGAGCTCTTCGGCGTCTTCCGGGCCGGAGTGGGCGCGGACGGGTTGGCCACCCCATCCGGTCGTTTGGCATATCTGTGGCGGAGGGAATTGTTAGGCTTCGCAAGGAGTAAAACGAGCCGATCAAGCGGTTTCCCAAAGAGGACAAAAATAATATAAATTAAGAACCCACCATCTTATACAAAGGCACCGAGCCGTAGGAGAGCGCGACCGTCGCCAGGATGACACTAAGCGTATAATAACTGCACGATACGCCCAAGATCAGCGAACTTCTCGGCACTGGTCCCGAACTCATTCCTCCACAAATGCGAGGCTCCAAAAAACAAACGTACCTAGTCGTTCGGTTCTTCTGCTTATAATGTTCGCGCACTTGTGCTATTGTCTCCTCGGCCGTGGGCCTATGGGGTGTCGTCTTGGGCGGTGGTGTAGTGCTCGAGGCATGGCGACGGAAGCCGGACTGGGCCCATTGTCGGGATTGTTGGCGGGCATTCTGGCGAGCGAAGCAGGCGAGGGCCCGCTGCGACTGCTGCAGGCGCCAGGAGAGGCTCCGGAAGCTATTCATCGTTCATGGCGGTGCTCGCAGTGGCGTGCGGGTTTGGAAGAGAGGACGTTGGAAATGATCATACGGTTTTCAAGGTTCTCTGGAGAAGACTTCACTAATACGATGACTAAGTCGGGGACCTGAAGTGGTTTTCCACAGGGGCCTATCAACGCCACGGGGAGTTTCTGGGCCGAGTAGGGTGATAAACTAGAATTTCGGGGCCTGCAATTCGTGTGGTCCACCCCACCATAACCGTTCAACTCCATCTCCTCTGTCACGGTACCTGTGCTCTGTGATCAATTGAGTTGAGGTTTCCGAAGCTCGCCGCGTCTAGCTCCTCGTGTAAGCGCAACGAGCAACATCATCAAAGCCAAGGTCTGGGTAAAGAATTGATTTCAATCTCTCGGCTATACATGAGCCACCATCTCCAATGCATTCCCGTCATATCCAGAGACAGTCGCTTCTTGAATTATGCAGCCTAATTATAGAGGTCCGAGCTGGCTGTCTGGGAGATCACATGAGCCGCTTCACCAGAGTCCCGGTTTCAAGAGGATCGCCGGACAAGCTCACTTGCATCGAACTTGAATTGCTCACGTAGTCTTGTTGAGAATTCACTTTGCTATACCGGTATCATAGCTTGGTTTCTTTCCCAGTGGCTTAACTATCAAATTTTCTGTTTCTGTACGCTCAATGCCTCCTCTGTCCCCTCGATCTCAGCCGTAAGTCCTCTCTCAATGGCTGAAGTGCCCCACCAAAATCCAACTCGAGAGCGAGACTCTGTCATGGCGCAAGTGCCAACCTCAACAATTCACTAACCCTCACTTACAGTAAGAAAATCGCCGTCGTCGGCAGCGGCTGCGCCGGCCTCGCAGCCGTCTGGGCTTTAAAGAAGACTCATCACGATGTCTTCCTCTACGAATCCGCCGACCGGCTCGGCGGGCACACCAACACCGTCGAGTGGAAAGCGGGGAAGTATACCACGACGGTCGACACGGGCTTCATCGTGTTGAACGCGGCCACCTACCGTGAGAATTCTTCTCTTTATTTTATTTTCACCGGTATATGTAGGAAACTAGAGCCATTGACACTTGTATGAATTCAAAACAGCCAACTTTATCAACTTTCTCAAGTCCGTCAATGTGCCCATTGATCCCACAGACATGACCTTCAGCGTCTCGCGTGACCGCGGACTCTTCGAATGGGCAGGAACAAGCCTCGACTCAATCTTCTGTCAAAGGCGGAATCTCTTCTCGCCTCGGTTCTGGCGCATGGTATTCGACATCATTCGCTTCAACCAATTTGCCCTAGACCTCCTCATCGAGGATCACGAGAGGAGTACGCCGAGCGACGAGCCGCTCGTGAACGGCTACCACCCTCTCAACGCCACCATTGGCGAGTATCTAGAGCGAGAGGGCTACTCTGATGCCTTCAGAGACGACTACCTCATCCCCATGACGGCTGCCGTGTGGAGCACTAGCCCGGACAAGTGCAGTCTCGAGTTCCCCGCCATCACCCTTGTCCGCTTCCTCTGGAACCACCATCTCCTCTCGACGATATCCTCGCGGCCGCAGTGGCTCACCTTGAGGAGCTGCGGCCAGAGCTATATCGATGCCATCATGCAGGGCTTCCCACGTAGCCGACTCTTCCTCAACACGACGGTCGAGTCTCTCGCCAACGACCCCGACGGTAAGGTAAGGTTAAAGCTCTCTAATGGATCATCATCCCCCGTATACGACCACGTCATCCTAGCCACCCACGGTGATCAAGCCTGGTCCATCATCCAGAACTCCGCCACCAAGGACGAGAAATCCATCATGTCCGTGTTCAAGACGTCCCTCAACAAGGCCGTCCTCCACTCCGACCTCTCCCTCCTGCCGCAGAGTCGGAAAGCCTGGTCTTGCTGGAACTACATCACCAAGTCTAGCCCGACAGGGAAGGCTAACATCGACACCGTCTGCCTCACTTACAATATGAATCTCCTCCAACATATCCCCCGCGACACGTTCGGTGACGTCCTCGTCACTCTTAACCCTCTGCATAAACCACACCCCAGCAAGACCCAGGGCGAGTATCTCTACACACATCCGCTCTATACCCCCGAGGCCGTCCGTGCTCAGGAACGCCTCCACAGGATCCAAGAGCGCAGGGGCATTAGCTATGTCGGCGCCTGGACAAAGTATGGCTTCCATGAGGACGGGTTTAGCAGCGGGCTTGCGGCCGCAGAGAGACTCGGTGCCAAGTTGCCGTTTGAGTTTAGGGACTCGACGTATAGTCGTGGGCGGAAGCCAGAAATCGGTCTGCGAGATTGGATACTGAGACTATTTCTCATTCTCATACAGCTCTTTATCGTAGAGACTGTTGAGCGCGTGTTTGGGTCGAGGAAGGCAAGGACAAGGCAGCAGGCGCCGATGTCAAAGAGGAAGTATACGTAGATGCAGAGTCCGTGAGGGGAGCTGTCGTGTTATCTCAACTTTAGTAGGAGGGGCCTGTCTTCATTAGCATATTCGCATACATTGCCAGCTTTGAACACAAAATTATATCAATTTTTTTTTTCCTCTGAAGACACAGAGTTTTTTTCTGTTTTCAGTTAATTGGATATTTGAATTATGTCAATTGTTGATACAACCCATATCGGGAACTTTTGCTATTTCTGTTTTTCAGTCTCAAGCATCTTTGCATACGGAAACAATACCATAGTGGTCGAGTAATTTAGATCTTGCCCTTGTTGACAACAAAACCTTCGAGAGCAGCTACGAGAAAAGTTAGCGAAAACTAAAAGAGAATGACAAAAATTCAGAAAATCAGTTCACTTACAAACAGCAGCCCACAGCCTGTTCTCCGCCTCGGGGAAGACAAGACTCCTGGGTCCGTAGAATACCTCGTCATCAACCTCCTCAGCATGTCGAGGCAGGCAATGCATAAACTTCCAGCCCTCCTTGGCACCGCCCCTCTTCGCGAGCTCATTCGTAATCTGGTAGCCAGCAAACGCTTGCAGGCGTTTCTTGGCCTCGGCCTCCTGGCCCATGGAGACCCACGTGTCAGTCACGAGGATGTCAGCGTCCTTGACGGCCTCCTCGGGCACTGTAGTCTCAATGAGCCTTCCGGGGGTGGCAGAGCTCTTTGCGGCAGAGTTGATGAGATCCTTCATTCCCTGGGGAATGCCATAGCCGGAGGGCGACGCGGAAGCAATCGTAGCACCTAACTTAACCGCCGAAAGAGCGAGGTCGAAGAGTACATTGTTAGAGTCACCGATCCAGGCGATCTTGAGACCAGAGAGGCCGAGGTCGGAAGGATTTGATGAGGGGAAGTTTTCGTGGATGGTGAGGAAGTCAGCGATGGATTGGAGGGGGTGGAAGTCATCAGAGAGGGCATTGATGACAGGGACGGAAGAGTGCTGAGCGAGGGTGGTGACGTCTGAGTGCGGGCCGACTCGGGCAACCATGCAGGACGTCATTGAGGAGATGACGACGGATGTGTCATAGAGAGACTCATTCACCTATACACCTGGTTAGTATAAGGGAAACATACGAAAATAAAAATGAAAATTTGAAACGAGAACGAGAACGCTCCGTAAAGCGGTCATGACAGTTGAGCGGTAGGAGAAGTGAGACCAACACCGAGCTGAATATCATCCTTGCCCAAGAACATCGCGTGTCCACCCAGAAGCGTGACCGCCGCCTCGGTCGATACCCTAGTCCTGGTACTCCTCTTGCTAAACATCATCGCAACAGCTGTACCCATGAGCCCTTTCCTGAGCTCCTCGAGATGCTTCGCATCACGGCCCTTCACGAGGGTCTTGTGAGATGCGGCATTGCGGACCAAGTTAGTGAACTCGACCGGTGTGAGATCAGCTATCGTCATGAGATGACGAGGGGGGATCTGAGAGGTGGCATTGGTGTAGGAGCGAGTCTGCGTCCTGAGGCCGGTAAGGGCCTTTTTGGCGAGGCGATTTGCTTGGTTTCGCATGATGGTGGCTCACGTTGGCTCTCTCCGATTTTTTGGGTGATGGGGAGAATTGGGGATTTTGAAGCTATAGATAAGCTCTTTTTGTTGGGAAGCTTCGTTTAATTTACGTTGAAGAGAGTCTGGAAGGATAATTCTGGGTATAATTGGATGATTTTGCGTCGGCAGCAAGCTCAATGGCAAGAAGATGGAGAGTGTGCTGGTGAGGGAGGAATTTGAAGATGCAAGTGTGTAAGTTGAGTTGGATGGGGGAAAAGCTCGAGTGTCACAGACCTCCAAAAAGTTGACTCAAAGAACCAAGGCTCAAGGCCTGGAGAGATTTTGATGGGGCACGGCAGGTACGAAGTACAGCAGGTACAACCGGGCGTGGCTCCGACAGGCCGTTTACAAGCTGATAGGCTGGCACCAGGCGAAGGTGCATGTACAATCATGTACGAAGTACGAAGTACAATGCACGTCGCCGAATCACTTCACCGCAATTCTCATCAGGATCAACGCAATGCCTGGCACTGCTAAGAAGAGAGTCGCTGGATCAGCCCTGTTGGCACTCACACCGCCTGGCCTGGCTGGGGAACTGCACACTAATCACCCGCCAGTAACCGCCAGTGCACGCTGTGCGCTCCATCATCTCAAGCATCAGCGTCTTGGTCAGTCTTGTCTACGAATTGATCCAATGATTTCTTGAGAATGTCGAGTCTCCCACGCGGACCGAGTCGGTTTATACGAGTCCATGCCATGAATAGAGTTCCGGGGCAACAACCGACCAAATGCTGCTACACTCATGCGCCTTTAGTTCGGTGCTCGACTCAAGGTTGCGGGCTATTAACACCAATTTCTGCGAGACTATTCGCATAATCGAGCCAACGCACAAAACACTTGTTGGAAGGAAACCCAAGAATCTTTCTCCGACTACCCTGAGAGTCCAGATACTGAGGGTTCATCCATCCTCAGATCCAGAGCCTACTCTCCCCTTCTACATCTATATTATGCATCGCCAATTCGGATTTTGAAATGGTATGTCGGACACTCAACGGGACTGGTAACCTGTAAAACAAAAGAAGCACCAATTCTTAGAAGCGCCGCTGGAATGGTTTCTCTGCCCGGATAAAACAACTCTACCCCAACCGAGACCGAAGAAAAAGTTTTTCCTTGCGGAAAACTTAGACTCTTCGGCCCCTGGAGTTGAGCCAATAATCTTCGCACCGGGGGATTCAACTTTCTATGGAGAGGAAAGAAAGAAACAGACCAAACCAGCATCGAGTGTGAAAATCTTTATACCCACGAGATGTTTTTTCGATTCCACGTGATCTTCACTCCAGATCCGCTTCTGCAGCCCGGAGATAAGCCACGCACGTGATGCAAATCAAACTGCGTTGTTCCAGACACTCAAAGCTTCACTAGTGTCAGATTCCGGACTGATGATGTAAGTCGACTTATCGATACGTAGCGTCGTTGAACGCCGTTGGAGTCGGACAATCAACCAACCACTGCCTCGTTCTATTCGTCTGCCTATAACCATCCCCGACCACCTGTAATCCTCTCATCCAACGATCCCTCTCGAATCCAAAACCACCAACGCAGTTTCCCCGGCGGATATCTCGATTGAGCGCTCGATCGCAAAGCGCTTCGCTTTCCCCCAAAGGTCTCGCGCCATCACCGTCCGCAAACAGCCATCTATCCACCCACTCCCCCTTCCCAGACGAACAATGGCGAACCCTCTCGACACCGATGCGGGCTCCGAGCTCTTCGCCTCCTACGAGGCCGAGTTCAAGCTCGTCCAAGCCGATCTAGACCAGAAACTAGACCAAGTCCCCGAACTCACCGGCGAACCCCGCAAGGCAGCCATTTCCCAAGCAGAGCGCGCTCTCGAGGAAGCTGACGAACTCGTACGTCCCCTCTCTTTATATCCTCCCCCCCCCCAATCCCCTTCAAGATTGCTCCCCGGTATCGTCCAACGAATTACGCAAACTAACACACAGATCCCCCAAACCAGCTCGCCCAAATGCGCCTCGAAAAACAAAACATCCCCTCTTCCCAACGCCCCAAAATAAACTCCCGCCTGCGCACCCACGAATCCGCCGTCTCCGCCGCAAAATCCAAACTCGCCTCCCTAGCCTCCGACCGCGCCTCCCTCTTCGGCGCCCGCTACCGCGACGACCCCGAGAACCCTTCCTCCTCCGCCAACGCCGACATCCAGCTCGCCCAGCGCCAGCAGCTCCTCTCGGGCACCGAGCGCCTCGATCGCTCTACCCAGCGCCTCAAGGCCTCTCAGGCCCTCGCTAACGAGACGGAGGCTATCGGCGCGGCGGCCCTGGCGGATCTGCATCAGCAGAGGGAGACCATTCTGCATACCCAGGGCGTGCTGGGGCAGAGCGAGGGTTATGTCGATAGGAGCGTTAAGACGCTGAGGGGCATGGCCCGTAGGTCTGTTCCCTTTGCTTGATGGATGTTGGTAAAACTGGGGCAAGTCGCAGCTAACCTTTTGTTTCTTCGTTTCTGTAGGATGGCTACCAACCGGGTAATCACCATCGCCATCATCACCGTGCTTGTCCTCCTCATCATGGCCGTCATTTTCAGCAAGTTCAGGTGATTCCACCACGTCGCTTTTTTCAACCATTGCTAGAATCCTCGTTCTTCTATCAGTCGTGGAATGTGCTATCACATAAAGTCACTACACACCCACCCGTTCAATTTATGCATACGTCGTTCGTTGGGCTATTCTTATTTTGTCTTTGCTTTGAACAAGACACCACGGAGTTATCAGGGTTTTTCGGTCTGTAGAGTAATAATACCAATCATCTTCATCTTACCATCCCATGTCCCTCATCACTCCAACACAATCTTGGTGTCTCGGTGTCTATTCATCTAGGTTGTCGTGGCTCCTCGCCTTGGGCATCGAACATGGACTTTCTCAAAACACTATTCTCTCTATTGGTTGGGATCTAATCTCTACTCCTGTGAGTAATCTTCCATAAACCTGATGGTTAATCCGGAATTATACAGAGAGTATGTTATTAGCTCTCCCCGAGCCTCGCCATGACCCTGAATAACTGTTCCGATACCTTATTCTTCCCTCACAGTTCCACGTGCTCTCTAACTGATATACTTCCTTCCCACACAACCTCCAAACATGCATGCCCCCTATGACAATAACAACCCTAAGTATGCTGAGAAATCTCTGTAGCTGACTCTCTCTGCACATATCTCGCAAACAAGATGTAGCAGTGGTTAGCCGCCATTGCTCATATTCGCAAGTGGCGCACCGGCTCTCCCAATGTGTCATCGACGGGTGGCCGATTCTCACCCCGCTTGTCTGCCAATGAACCCGTGGCTCCGGTTTTATCTTCATGCTCGCTGCCCTTGGATGTGGACCCCCTGGAAGACGCCGTGTTGGCAATCGTAGGCGTCAAGGAAGCCGCAGCGTGTCCTCCGTATTGAGGGAGAAGACCGTGAGCCGTAGTCGACGTGATTTCTCCGGGCAGCGCATTGCTGCTGGGACTTCCTTTCTTCAGCATGCTTTGCAACAGGTCATTTCCTTTCCGGCCGCTGTTGGTTCCGAATTAGCCTCTCTATCACATCGAGAGGGAAAAAAAAAAACACCATCCGTGAGAAAAATTCCTACCTCGAAGGCTCCTCCTGACGGCGAACTCGAACGATCTTCGGTTGCTCGAAACCCTGCGAAATACTGTTAGCAATTCCATGCGCTACCTCACAGGTATTAATTGATTGTCTCTCACATTGCTTCCATCCTTTTTTTTCTTGGAATGTCCGTTTACCAAATCTTCAGATTCGGAGCAGCTCGTGGCGATGGTGGGTCCTTCGGTCTTCCGAGAATCTGTTGACGAGAAAGGATCGGTGGCGGTCTGGGATGAATCGATGGTTCCCAGGGCTCCCAACACAACATCTTCTCGCACCTTCGATGGGGACGGAGGGTAGAAGTCTTTGCCGTCGAATTTTGGCAAGCCCTTCATTGCTGAACGGGGAGCCTGGCCCCAGTATAAATGCCGAGCTCTGATCTCCTCGGCCGTAAGCTCACGAGGATATATGAAATTTCCATGTGCGGCATCCTTCGAATTGGAACCCGGAGGAAGACTGCCAACCAGATACGGGCGTTGCTGGGAAGACTGTTGAATGGACAATTTTGGGTTGTTGGTTGCTCCGACGAAACCATTCTGATGGGCATTCGCCTTGCCACGGACAGGAGTGCCATGCTCCTTCGTCGTCAAGTTTATTGCCATTTCGCGGAAGCTATTACCTCCCAAAGACATGAGCCTCTTTCGAGCTGCCTCCCTAGACTCCTTGTAACCATCCTCGGAGCTTGATCCTAGCCCGTGGTTCGAAGGTTGCACCGAAGGCTGGAAAGGGGTTGCAGCAGCAGCCGTCATTGGCAAACCAGAAAACTGCCTAGACTGGTCGCTATCCGAACTCACGGATCTTTGGAAGGTGTTGTTGTCGCCAGAAAATATTCCCCGTACCGCCTTGCTAGGCTTTCCAGTAACTTGGCTCGGAACGCCGTTCTCTTTGATCGTTGAGCTGCCCCCAGTTGTGGCCTGTAGGCCTACTGAGCCAAAGGGTATACCGTTGAGTCTCGGCTCTTGCTTCTCCAGTTTAGGATAATGCAATTCTTCGAACTCCAGCTGCCTTGGTAGAGCATCCTCCAAGGCCTTGATGGAGTGACGGATTTCCCTGGCAAGGCCCTCCATATGCTTTACGTCGATCTGGTGGACATTGTACTGAAGTTGATCCTCCACTCGCTTCAGATTCTGTTTAAGAGACTCGATGTGAGACCTTGTGATCTGGCTCGGACGGATTGATGAAATAGGAGGCGTCGTCGGTGCTCCAAGCGGTGTAGGACGGTGGATCCCCGCATTCTGGGTTCCTTGCGCATCAAAGTTGGGATATGGTGCGCTCCCGGCTGGCATTTGGGCGTGTATCTGTGCCTGGCCCAATATAGAGCCAGCGTATTGCCCTCCCATATATCCAGGTGATGCCATAAGGGGATGGAGTGCGTACGGATACGGCGAGGTACCAAGCGGGAGCATCCACTGGCCATTAAGGAAACATGGCCGAGAGGCATCGAACTGACCTGTGGGCGGCATTCTAACACCTCCTGCCCCATCTAAACCCTGGCCATGGGAGGCCACCTGGGGGGTGACCGGGTCGACTTGCCCATATCCGTTTCGACCAACCGCTTGAGGGATTGCGAGGCCGCTGGCAAAGTTAAATCCCATAGGGATATGAGGAAATGGGAACTGTTGCGGGCCGAATAGGCCCGCAGGATAGCCCGGCCAAGGCGCAGGATACCCGATAGGCAACGGAACAGAAGCTCCTGCAGGTGCCTGCTCCTGAGCCGGCTGGGTTTCCACGTGGTTGTTCGGTTGCTGTTCAGCGGGGCTCTCATTCTTCTGGTTTGGGGATTGAGCCCCCCTAGTGTTGGGGACAATCCTTCCACCAGCAGTAACCCGCACATGAGTGGGCGAAACAACAGCTTTATAGAACCTCTGGAAACCCTCATCCTTTTGGGCCCCAAGGCCGGTAGGCGCTGGAATAGGTTGCGTTGCGGCGGCTTCGGGGCCGGTTCTTCCGCGGTAATGCCATTCACTAGCTTCTGGGAGGGTCACGACAACATCCCTAGAATCGCTTGATGAGGTTTTCTGCGTGAGTGTCCGACGACGCTCTCGGCCCCTCTCACCGTGACCGGACTTCTTGTTCGCATTTGAAACGGAAATCTCTCCTAAAGACGTAGTCAGAGTCGGGTGGTTCTCAATGTTCTCCACAATATGGAGGATGACTTACCTGCGCCTGCTTTGTCACAGATCCTCTTCATTTCGGCTGGAGTTACGGTGACAACACCGTCAGTCCTCAACCGAAGGAGGTCTTTGATAGTGTAAGATTTAGGCATGGCCATCCAATCTTCCCCAGTCGCTCTCGATCAGGCGACAGCTAGGAAAATGGGTCCAGTACAAAACAAAACCCTATTTCACGGACAGGCTCCTCGGCGCTGCTGTAGTTTTTGGGAGACAAGGGCTTCGGGACCACAATAGGCGAACAGGATTTCAGAAATCGACGGAATCTAGAGGCCGGGAGTATAAAGAGTTAGTTAACGCCATCCATAGCCCGTTTGATGAGATGTCATGAGTGATGTCAACGAATGAATACCTTGGGCCAGCAAGAGGATATATTGAGGGGGCTACACTGGGAGCTTGCGGCGAGATCGCACACCTTTTGCACAAAGACCTACTACCTCTTACTCCTCGCAGTGTGTAATGCTGGCCCAGGTTGGTTGTAGATGTGTAGCGCAATTGCAAGGGTGGACGAGATGCGAGATACGCAGAGGACTCAGGGTTGGATGTTTGGAAACTCGCCAACAAGTGATCACGCGAGATAGATACTCATATAGGCCTCACCCTGTGGAGGCTTTTGGTTGGAACCGCGACGTAGGAGCAGAATTAACAGGCTCCCGCGAGTCTGAGATGGCAAAAACGGGGGAATCAAAACAGAGTCCCTAGAAGATGTGGAACGGGATCAGGGAAGGAGACGAAGGTGCAGCGGTGTCTTGTGTTGGAACGTGAAGTGGACGCGAGAGTATCGAGGGAGATGTTGTGGGTGAGGTTCGGGGAGCAGGACCGACGTGAACATCATTCTAGAAGGGAATCGGCAAAGGTACCCATTCGAGATCGTGCCTGCCCTTAGAGAGAGGTTGGAGGAAACCGTATTTGATTACGAAGAGATGGAAAGAGGTACCTTCGGTTCCTATCCCTGGCGGGGAAAGTCCGGATGGGCCATCACACTTTCCACAGGTCAAGGATGCAACTGCCATTGACGCTTCCACGGCAGGAGACATCGATCTATGGAAGGAAGCGCTAAGGTATCTTTTCAAGTACACTCCTGCGTGAGTCCTGCCCTGCGTGGGTCCTGCCTGCTCCTTCTTGTTACTCATGTTAATAGTTTCCTGTACATTCTTAGTCGATTCTTTTCTCTTTCCTCAGACCGGTGCAGTCATTGCATCAGCAACGTTTCTGGCTTCCGCTCGGTGAGGATGCTCCTCTGCTCCTCTGCTCAAGAAGACAATGGAAGAAGCCGAGGGCACTGATCTCTTTCTCTCACTCTGTGCCTTGTCTGGCCGTCAGTTACCATCAAGTCCGCCACGTCTTTCCCGCCATCGACTGCCCCGATTCTGCCTTTCTTATACCCGTGGTCTTCTGCATCAGTCATGTAGAGATCCAGCATCTCCGGTTCCCATTCCATCCACCGAGATCGGTTCTACTGTTTTGTGGAAGGATCTAGGAGAGAGAATTGTGCAAGTGCGTTTCCGGATGGAATAGACGTATACATGGGCCTTGACACGCCTACACGGATTTTGCTCAGGCTTCCATCCTTCAGTCGCCACATTGTCAACTAGGTCGGTTCTGGATGTTGCGAAACTGATCATCGATGTATTCCAGATATATCCTCACCGAGTATGTCCTAAAAGTAACTACCCAAGTGCACATCAAGCGGAAGGTCTCATATCGAAGAAACGCAAGGAAGCCAGCCAGCGATATGCCAAGATAACTCCGACCTCTACGGTCTTAATCCACTGACAACTCTTGAGATACCAGCCATGACCAGAAACATTCGGCTCAAAATCCAACTCTCGGTTTTTCATAAGCGATGTGATTTGTTGCCCGATAACCGCATATACCCTCGCAATTTCCACCGAACATGACCGTCACCATAAGGGATATATCCTCCCTTCGTTGTATTCCCTGTCAGAGCATTCGCACCGATTCGGAAAACAAAAGCCAAAAAGGCATTGTGGTTTGACTCTCGGTCTCGTTAAGAGGAGCTATCCGGAGGCTCTGGTGGTTCTGGATTTGGAGGGTCGGGCTGAGGATGAGGCCGAGGGCTGTTCTTATCTTCGCTCGATAACAAGAGCGTTCTTGATGCTTCGACCCGATGCTGCATGGCGAAGCTTCCGGGTCGGTAAACGAATCAAATTAAAGACTTCTAAGAGGTTTTTAGGAATGGTGGGTGAGCTTGATATGACTTGAAAAAAGAAGACGGATTTTGAACTGGAGTCTGCGAGCGCGAGGATCACTTCGAGGATGTGGGCGAGAGATCGAGAGATATGACGACACGCATTCTGAAGAGGGCATACGCCTGGCTTAAAAGGATTCATCTCGATACACCCATATCTATTAACCCCCACCACCCTCGGTATCCCAAGATTGAGCCGCAAGGGTTGGTGCTCGCAGCCCTGCAATGCGTGGTGTCATCTACAAAGACTCCTGTGGTTCGTTCATGTTGCTTGGCGAAATGCTGAATTCACTCTAATCAGTGTGATAGGATATATGGCAAGCTTCTCCATCCTCGATACTACAGAATCGGCACCGGTCTTATGACTGGAGAGTCATTCCGTCGGGGTCGGAAAGCCTTCGTGTAACTCTGTATCAGATGACAGGCTCCGGAAACAGAGCCCAACGCACCATTATGATACCCCAGCTCACCATTAAAAAAGCTCACTCCGCGAAGAACATTGCGAAGAATACTCGCAGACCCTGATGGCAGAAGGATGGTTTGGATGGTGCATCCGGGGAATATACGTCATCGCCATCCTTCCACTCCAGACGGTAGTCAGAAATCTTTCGAGTGGCAATAATTAAAGGCTTACACCCCACCAGGTAAATCACCGAGACGCGTTCGTGGGAGCTGCCCCGGGGTTGGGTGGATGGGCGTGGGCGACACATGCATGCTGGTGATATGTTGCAGCCTGTCTCACACCATGCATGTCGAGGGCCTTTGCACGACCGCCGCTCGGCCCCACTTACGGTGACACGACCAAGCCAAGGATGGGCCAGATTATTACAAGGGGCTTCATGATGGCCAGTATTGAGTGTTCCCCGCCAAAGAACACGCCCGTCACAGAATTCTCTCGTCCTTCCATAAGAGCTGCTATTAACTGGCGTCCCTGACCATTACAATGCCACCAGCAAACGAAACTAATGCGCGCTCATGAGCTTCGTTTCGACATAGACAAAACCGGTCGAGCCTAAACATCTCATTCGGACATAATCCTACATGGATTTTTGTTCAAAACCACTGGCCGGCATGTAGGCAGCAGGGGAACACCGCAAGAAATCCTTCCAGCACCCGCTCGAATCCAACCTATTGGCATGCACGCTTGTATCACTTTCTGACGGGCGAGCATTTCTATATATTGGGCTGCACTGTTTTGTCCTGGTGACAAGTCGTAGGGGGCCAAGAGTCGTGCTGAGCCACAAACGCTGCCCACCCTGACCATTGTGGAAAGTTCTTTCCGGATATGACCATGACCTACCGACTAGCACGCTCGATGCATCCACGACTACGTGGCCTAGACTACGGGATCTAGGCTTACTATCTCGCCCGGACCAATATAAGGGGTCGGATTTGTGGTGGGTGGCTCTCCAGCATTTTTTCGGGGTCAAAAGCCGAAGCGCCGTTCGCGCACGGCGCGTCTATCCGGCTATTCCAACCCTGCGGAGCAACCCTTCGGCCCTCGGAGACAACGTAGGTGCTTCGTATTAGGCATAGATTAGTTCCAGGTCGTATTTATCGGCTCGTCGCCTGCGACGAGAAACACGACAAGGACTCTCACGATCAATCTCACGCAGCGCTCCCATTACGAATTCCTTCACAGCTTCTTTCCCAGAGTCGAAACTCTCAGAGGTGAGCTATATCCCGAGGGATAAGTGCTCGAGTCTAGATCCCCTCACAAGATCAATCAATGTGGAAGGAATATAATCCTGTTTCGTTGGGCCAGGTGACCACCCCGCTGGCGGGTTATCACTGTTTGGGTTTTCAGACAGCCAGGTATAACATCTCATCTTATAGGCCTGAGGGACGGCATTGCATGTCTGAGCGATGCTGTATCCGGAACAGTGACCTGCGCTCGCATGGGCTGGTTCTCAGATGACCAGTGGACCAGACTTTGCCGCTGGTCGAGGCAATTTTCTCTCCGATGAGAGATGACGGGGGTAAGTTCTGAGCAGGTTGTTGGCTGTTAGAGAGTCTTGATATGGGATCCCAATGTGCAGCTTCTCAGCCAAGACGGAAACCAAAGAATTCCGTAGGATATCGCCGACGGCCATGTTAAAGGACATCTCTTCAGGCCTCGATTAGGAAGGCTACGCAAAGAGTGATGGAGAGAAGGATGCCAGGTCGTCGACCCAGAAAGGAGTTCGGTTGAGATGGAGAGACGCATGCCCCATAAGCCTTCATCCCTGAATTTAAGACCAACCACTTTCCAGGAAATGGCGTGAGATCACCCGAGGCCACGATTCAACCGTGATTTCCGTTGCGTGGACCGTGTAGCGGATGCGTAGGGCAAGGGTTGTGGACATTGAGCGCACCAACGAGGGTTGGCAATTCGAGAGTTGGGCCGATTGGAAAGAAGTTACCCGAAATCTCCTCGGCTGCGAACGAACATCGAAAACCATGCCAAGCGACTCTGCTCGAGATGTCATGATCGAAAACTCTCTCAAGCGGTCCGTCCCGCCACCTTCCGGGGGAAAAGAGTAGAGGCGATCACAAGCTTTCAAACTCGTCGGGACCAAGGTGCATAGCCACGGGCGCGAACGGACGCTGGGGCTAAGGATTAGTAGTTGTTGGCTCTCACCATTGACACAATGCCACGAAGCATTGGATGGAAACTGGATCACCACGCCTCCGAAGTGCCTTGACCCTTAACCTGTTTGAAGTTTTCACGCCCGCCTGGTCATGGATTGAAGGAGGCGTCTCCTAACGGAAGTTGCTGTCGCACTCGACAAACGTCTTCAGCAGGCTTTTTGAAAGGGCAAATTCCACAGCCTGCTTACCTCGGACACCTTCAAACGAGTAAATGAAGTTGACCAACCAACACGAGCTGAAGTACCAGAAGCCGAATAATAATGGTCGGCGAAATTTCCCCGGAGTTATCGGCTCCTTTGCACCTATAAATATCTCGCTTACCTCTTCACCCCGCGCAGAGGAGGCATGGAGTCTGCATGAATTACGCTTGATCTGGGGAAGAGGTGCAGGTAATAGGAGCTGATCGACCCCGCGGTGGCATGGTGGCTGGAGCTACCCCGGAGCAAATGATGCGCATGGTGCAAAGCAGAGCTGTCCAACATCTAGCAGAAAAAGAAACATTCAGGCAGCCCCGAGTTTTGCCAGCCTGGCAACACGTCGCTCCGCCTCCACCGCCGCCTTGCAGGAACAGGTTCTCCGGGGATGTCCGGCGAAAACAGGCGCGACGCCCGGTGGCGAGAGGGGTCTGGAACGACGCTGCTCCGCACCCCGCCGAGTACTGCGCTTCTTCGGGCGCGGCCTGATTCGCCAGATTAAAGCCATTTCCCCGAGGTTTTACGTACTTTTCAGGGGACCAGATGCAAAGCTCAGACTCTGTCGTGCCTTAGTGTTATGTTTCGCATGCGAACCACGAACCATGAGAAAGCACGACTTTATGGGCCATTCACAAGCTTGTCGCAGAGTCGCTCGTTACGCACTAACAAGAGGATTTTATTCCACCCCAGGCTAGTGGGACCAATCGACGAAAGAGCCGAGGATGGAAAGGCGTGGGATTGCAGTTCACCCCGCGTTGCGCCGCATAACGCTTGACAGGTTTGACTCTCTTTCCAATGCCAGCGAAGATGGGCTACGTCACTAGTAAATGAGAAACAGGCGATTCTAAGGTGCTCTGGGGAAAAGGAAGGGACCACATTGACGTGCATCAGAAGCCGCAATTCTGGGTTACCTCGGGAGGGGCTTGCTCTTTAGCGAGCACGAGCAGACGAAAAAGAGTTGGAGCTGCGCTACGCTCAACGCTCGTTGGCTCTCTCGGGCTCTTAATTGACGCGTGGGGTTTCCCGAGGCGAACACCGGTCTTGATGAGGAGAAACACGAAGGGTCTCCAACAAACGTGGAGCTGCAGCATTAGCATTTGATTTTGACTGACCTGGGGCTCGCCAGAGATTTTACCTGCAAGAAGCTAGTCGATTATTTTTTTTTATTTTACCGCGATCCCGCACTTCTGTCCCTTCTCCTCTTTCTCTTGAATCTCTCACCATTCCCCAAGTTGTCTGCTTTTCCTCGATTGTGTTCAGCCCTGTATCATTGCAACCCTTTTTGCATTCCCCCTCTCCTCTCTCGATTCAGTTAACCCCAATCCTCCTCTTCCGAAATCCTTGCGCCATACGCTCGAAAAAGTAGCAAAGATGGCCCCTCTTACACCTCATTGGGTCCAGCCGTCCCACCCAGATCGGCTAGAGGTCATTGTCAACGAAGCTGCCTTCACCTCGAAGAGCATTTCGAAAATCTCGCTGCCTCCCTTCGCTACATTTGCGAAGTTGTCCTTCCCTCCGTGCACCGTCTCTGAGAATGTGACGTACGCCACGGTACAGATGGGCAAGGATAAGCACTTGAACTTGAACAGTGACCTCCTCTACATTAACCACTCGTGCGAACCTTCGCTGGTCAGTTGTCCCTTTTCCTGGTCTCTCCCTCTGTCCTCGGTGTGCTTGGATCCTCGCGCTTGCAGATAAGCAAGGCAGCCTTACGCATGCTGTCGTCTCTCTTTTTTCTACCACTTCCCCCCTCCCACACCCACCCAACCACGCACGTCTTACCCTCCCATTTCCCGGATTGGGAACCCGTTTTCCTCTCATTCGATGCTATGGTGGTGTTATTGAGCTAGCTACCCTGGCTTGTGTCGCACTCTTCACACCCTCTTCTACCACCCTTGTAACTGCGCCCATGTGAGCCAGGTGAGCTCCTGGAAATGTGATATCAACCTGCTTTGCTTCTCTCTGTGGACAATGTGGGACAAAGGAGTTGTAGCTCGTCATCACTATCACCCAACTACGTCACTAACTTGACCCTCGTGCAGATGTTCGATACTTCGAGCTTCAATGTCATCGTCGGACCCAGAGGCCTGGAGCCAGGCGACGAGCTTTCCGTGTGTTCTCCCCCATCATCTCGCCCTCCTTGAGACCCTTCTGGACAGTACCCTCCAGCACACCAACGCCTTCCTCCATTCTCCCCACCCCCACCCCCAATTGTGTCCAATATGCTCCTCCATTTCTTCAAGAAGGAATCCTTATTAATGCACGGTCCGACATATGGTCACCTCCCGCCCACGGGAACAGTTCTTCTATCCTTCCACAGAATGGTTCATGGCCCAACCCTTCGACTGCCTATGCGGTCAACCCACCTGCCGCGGCCGCATCTCGGGCGCTCGTGACATGACCTCCGAGCAGCTCAAGGGCATCTGGCTCAACGCGCACATCCGCGAACTCCTCGAAGAGCGCGACGCCGCCGCCTCTTCTACCTCTACCTCTTCTCCTTCGCCCTCATCCGCTCAGACCACCAACGGTGCCGCCGCCGTCACTAACGGCAAGACCGACAACAACGGCGTCGTCAAGAAGAACGGCACCGCCGCCCCTGAGAACGGGGTCGTTGATCAGACGGCCGACGCGCTGAGAGACGCGCTCAAGCACGCCGAGCAGGTCGTCGAGGCCGCCAAGACCGCCCTCGCCACCTACCTCGAGTCTCGCACCGGCTCCTCCTCCTACGGAGTCGCCGTCCTTTCCTCTGTCGAGGCCGCTAACGGCAGCGATGTCGCCAACGGCGAGCCCAACAGCAAGGCTGGGGTCCAGAGACGGGGAGTGACGTCACGAGAATTGTCCGGGGAGATGGGTGGAGATACGCCTATCGAGTAAAGGAGTGGAAGTTGGAAGTTTTAACCCCCCTTCCCCCTTTGATTTTTTGAAATCCGGTGCTGTCTGTCATCGAAACAGATTGAAAAGAAGTAAACAAAAGAAAAGAAAAGACGCATGCAATGTTATATAGCCCGGATGGCTCTTGGTCCGTTCCAGTTGATTCAACATCCGGCTGGCCGACAGGGCGCTGAGTTAGTTTGGTTTAAGTATGAAAAGAACATCTCGTTCACCAAAACTTCCCCTCTTTTGTTCCGAGATCTTGGCATTGTGATGCGAAAGGCCCCAAGCGTAAGCGACATAGGCAAAAAGGCCTTTTAGATTCAAGCCATCAATGAATTGACGCTGTAGACGAGAAGAAACCCAAAAACAAAAGTAAAAGGAAAGAGAAAAGCTGCTCTGAACGCCCCAGCTCCATGTCTTTCTTCCCGGTTAGATTATACATCTCCAACCTATTCCCTTTCAGTTATATCCCCCAAATCTGAAAACCCAACAAAAAAGGAAACAACCCGTCTCGTCCGATCATACACTCTCGCTCTCGTACAAGGACAACACTTTCATTCCACCCTTTTTCCGGAACAAGAAAAAAAGACCAGCGTGCTTCCGCTCTCCTCTCCTTCTAACGCCGTACCCTATCAAGCTGATCCTCCAACTTGTCGATCCACCGATCAAATGTATGCCGACCGCCCTCGGACCCAGCACCCTGACCATACTTGGCCTCCTCCTTCTCCCACGCCAACCTCTCAACGGCCTGCCTCGCCAAAAACGCCCTCGCAAACTTCCACGCCTCGGTATCACCCAAATTCCACGCCTCAATAGCGTCCCGCACGCGCATCTTCTCCTTGGCGGAGCTAACGCCCACAGCCATGGCCTTCATGAGAAGGTCTCGCTCGCGCTCCCTCTCGGCCGAGGACGCGGCGACGGGTTCACCGTCGTCGCCAGACGCATTCTCGGTGCTGGGGGCAGGTGGGATATCTTTGTTCTCGGGGAGCGTGAAGCCAAAGTGCCACTCGAGATCGGTGGGCGGTTTCTTCTCGGCCGTGAACCAGATGGAGCGGCCCGTGTGTTCTGGTCCCGCGATAGCTTCCTTCAGACGCATGATGCGTGCTCCGGCGCCGAAGTCCTTGGGGAGGATATCGAGGGTCGCTTCGGTGAGCCAGGGGTCGCGCATCATGTCGCGGCGGATCCAATCGACGTCGATGTCCTCCCTCAGGTTATCGAGCGTGGCGAGCGTGTACGGGTGCGGCACGGTACCGATGGTGAAGATCGTTGAGGCGTTGTTGTAGTGCTCGGGCGTCGTGACCTTGGCGTTCCTCTCGCCCTTGCAGGGTGTGCAATCGGGGTAGGTCGGTGGGCAGGACTCGGCGACGGGCGTATCGGGACAAGCGGCGAGGAGGTGTGCGAGCTCCCACGCGTCCTCGACGGCGAGCGTCGTGTGTCGGGGTATGGGTTTAAGCACGGCGATGCCGTCGGAGAAGACATTCTGCCACATGACGTGGGAGTGGGCGTTGATGAGCTTCCTGAGTCCCTGGAGGCCCTTGACCGGCTCGTTCTTGATGACCTCGGCGAGTTTGGGGTATGATTTTTCGAGGACGGTGGTGGAGTAGGAGGCGAGCGATCGCGGCTCGGTATCGATGGTGATGGAGCCTTGAGGAGCTGCCAAAACCAGCTCCTTGACCTCCTTGAGCTTGGCCGCGTCGCTTTCCATGAAGGTCTTGACGAATTCGGACACCTGCTCCCTTGACCCGGCGAACAGCGCATTATCAAGCTTAGCCCACATGGTTAGAGACGGATACTCGCCGCGACGAAGATAGGTAATCAACGGGTCATGGTAAGCACCCATTGGCACGAGGGTATATTCCGCTATTAAGCCTCCTCCCATGTTTTCCCAAGCAAACCACCTCATGACCTCGTTCTTCATGGCGGCGTCGAGCTCGATGTGCCGCAGCGTTTCGTAGAGCGGGTTGTTCATAGCCTCGGCGGCGGTCAAAATGATGGGCTTGAAACCCTTCGCCCACCACGCCATCCTCCACATCAGCAACAGCTCGCTCTCAGCATCCTTGGTCGCCGAGTCCTTCTTGGCGTCGACATCATAGTAGCAATAAATAGCAGGCCTCTCAGCCAAGGGCGGCAGCAAAGACCTATCCTCATCAAGCGTCAAGGACGACGAGAAGGGAACGAGCCACTTCCAATCAGCCCACCACGACGACTCCTCGAACGTGTCATTCTTCTGCCTCGGCGGCGCGTGGGGCGGCTGGCGGAAAGGGTTGAACACGCTATTCGACAGCGGGTTCTTGAGGTCCTTAAATTTGGGTAGGGACACGGGGAATTTGTGGGAGGTGTATTGGGAGAGGCTCGGGCCCGCGGGGATGTTGCCGGCGAGGGCGAAGAGGATGGTGACAGCGACGATGAAGAGGAGACCGCCGACTAGGCGGAGGAGACGGCGGTTGGCGAGGCGCGGGATTGGGCGGCCGAAGAGGCCGAGGATCCGCGGCATTGTCGGCAGTAGATCTGTACTCTTCTGGGGGGGATGTTAACGAGGGTTGGAGGAGAGAGGTCTTCGATTTGATCGTTTCGGCGTGCGGCTGCCAGGCCCCCTGGATTCAATCAAGGAAGTGGAAACGTGAGTGTCGGAGCCCCGATCAATTGAAGTGAAACACAGTCATATGAACTCGACCAACTAGCTCACACAGCGGGTACGAGCTTCGTTCGAGAGTGGAATACGCCCTGAGCTGGCTAGAGAGGGAAGAATATTATTACCTTTTTTCCCCTATTCTTCGCCGAGACTTGCAGCTTCGACCTGATCTCGACAGCAACACATGCTTTATCTCATTATAGGAATATTCATGAATGTGCTGTTTCGTGCATGTTACGTATATAAACGGTTTAACGACCAATGCGGGGTCGTCCTCCCTCTCCACAACCAGCTCCCAAGACCAAAGCCAAGATGAGTCGAAGTTACTCAAGTCCTGTGAGCATAAGGGCATAGCGTAAAAATTTCAGAGAATATAATCTCCGATTCTCCAGGTTATAGGCACTTTTCGGACTGTAAGTCGTGCTCTCATGCTAAGAATATACCACAGAGATCTGCGATCTAACCTCTCCCCGCATGTAGCTCCTCCACTCACGGTCTCTTTTTCTGGGGTATCTCACCAAGTATCTATTTCACTTACATCCCCTTCGACGCCTACGCCTCTCGGCATAAAAGAAGCAGCCATCCTCGACTGAACTAGTCATGTCGGGAGCAGACTCGGAGATGAAAATAGATGCAGCCCGTGCAAAGACGCTGGTTTCCCAGCTCCAGAGCGTGAGCGAAAGGATCGCCGCGGTCTCTAAGGGCAGAAATGTACGAGGTCCCTTCTCTCTCAAAACTCATCGAATTCTGCTCCCTCTGAAATGGAAGGACTGCCGTCAAGTCCATCCGCAAGGTTGCCCACCCGAGTGCTCACATCCTTCTCATCAGGTCCGCCTCGTGGCAGTCTCAAAGCTAAAACCCGCCAACGACATCCTCGCCCTTCACCAACCACCAGTCTCACACGTCCACTTCGGCGAAAACTATCAGCAAGAACTCCGCCAAAAGGCCGAGATCCTACCAAAGACCATTCAATGGCACTTCATCGGCGGTCTCCAATCCGGTAAGTTCACTCGTTTTCTCTCTGTCTCCAGAATACATCCGCAGTAGGGCATCAAAGGTTAAAAGTTTCTTTCCCTCTTTTCCCTTGTGTGTAAATAGGCCACTGTAGACCCCTCGCGCGCATCCCCAACCTCTTCTGCGTCTCCAGCGTAGACACTCTCAAAAAGGCCCAACTCCTCGACAAAGCCCGAGGCGACCTCATCGCCACCGACCCCTCCATCCCCCCGCTCAACGTCCACGTCCAAGTCAACACATCAGGTGAAGAATCCAAGTCAGGCTGCACCCCCGGCGACGAGACGATAGATCTCTGCCGCGCCGTCGCCGAAGCGTGTCCTAACCTGCGGCTCCTCGGGCTCATGACCATCGGCGCCATTGCGCGGAGCAAGGCGACGACGCCGGAGAATGAGAATGAGGATTTCGTGGCGCTGAGGGAGCAGAGGGATCTCGTGGCGGAGAAGCTGGGGCTTGAGAAGGAGAGCTTGGAGTTGAGCATGGGTATGAGTGATGATTTTGAGGGGGCTATTACTTTAGGGAGCTCGGAGGTGCGTGTCGGGAGCACGATATTTGGGGAGAGGCCGGCCAAGGCGCACGCGAAGATTAAGGAGTAGGCCGGCCGTATAATAGAAATTCCGCGATGCTCGAAAAAATATACCTACAATGAAGCTCACTCCACCCAGTTCTTTTCCATCTTTGAATCCCGACTTAATCCATGGCGCTGCTTTTCCATATACCGATTGATCAATCCCATGTTTCCCGTTTCCACCGAATCTCTCAAGCACCTAACACCACGCTGAAGGAGTGAGTTCGTAAGAGCAAATCAAGACAAAAAGAAAAAGCCTTCCACCGGCTGAACCTCAGTACCTGAAAAGCGCCCTCCAGACTCGGAATAAGATGATTGGCAAATGAATGGTTAAGTAAAGAACAATGGACACATCGCCTATTTCCCAGGGCCCAAAGTTTTGTCCTCTAACGAAACACAATACTTTGCAAAGGAATATTTGCCAATGAGAGTACACCACAATTATGAACGACACAGTTGCTATGATGTGACCTTTGCACGCAGTCAGCAGGAAGAAAATACGCCATGGGATGGTAGAACTTCGAAAAACATGTCGCACTGAAGTGCGTAGTATAGATAAATGAAAAGAGAACTTACATGCGGTATACATTGAATCCAGTGCCCTTTCCCAGCCGACCCTAGACTGACGAGTAGTCGATTGGCCGGAGACATTGCGGTCGTCTTTCTTCTCGGTTATCATATTGTAGTAGTGATGACGGAGTCGTTCTCTGGCGTTTGATAAGAGTAGCTCGAGGGTTTGTGTAGATGTGTTTGGGGCGCCTGGGCAACTGAACAAAAATGATGCAGATTGAGGGAGAGAGAGGAGGAGAGAGTTGTTGCGTAGCTCGACCAGCATGTTTAAGAATCCGGCCTAAGTCTCTGGTAGAGGTATAGAAGATAGACGGAAACTTCAATCCACCCAACTCGTAAATGGCCTCTGAGCTTGAGGCAAATCGAACCGTCTTGCGAGGCAACGGCGACCAGCGCAAGTGCTTTTCTCTGCCGTCCCGGCTTCCCATCACCGCGAACCTATCACACGGCGGGGCGAACCGAACGAAGACGGATCATATTCAGGGACAAGTTTAGGAAGTCGGGATATAAACATCCCAAGTATCAAAGTGCTCTCTCGCAGTTCCTCTAGCTTCACACTATCACCCTGCGCCTCTCAGCAACTCCATCCTTCGATACTTATACTTACATAAATGTATTAACATATCTTGTTCTGACTGGCGAGCCGCAATAATTAAGAAGTACATACTATTTGCAGAGTCAATCCTGTAGAAAATGCAAGAAGAAAGAGAGACTCGTCCAATGATGTGTACAATTCAATACCGCCATCTCTCCTTCCATCCACCATCCAAATAACCACCCTATGTTACCATGACGTTCTTAAACGCATCAGATATCTCGGTTCGCGTAGGAACCTGGGGCCCTCTCATCTCCGGTTGGTTCGAATGGCCAGAAGCTATCCTTTCTTCCATCAACTTGAGTAGTATGCCGGGAACGATATCGTCAGTGGCCCGAATAGTCAGGCGTACCATCTAAGAAGGTTTCCCGCGTTAGTTTGCCATTCGTAAAACGCGCAATTAGCACCTTAGAGAGCGGGGAAGAAAGCCACGAACCTGGGTGCCGTAATTCGGCTCCAACCTCATCAAACAACCAAACTTGCCGCCCTGCGAAGTATGCAGCACGCTAGCTCCCACAAAATTCTTCGAGTTATGATCCACGCCCTCCAGGATCCTCCACCGGAACCCTTCAATGATCCTCCTCAAGAATCCCTCCGTGAGCTCGCGGTCCCCATTTCTACTATGCGAAAGCCCAAAAATCTGCTGCGCCTCGCGAGGCGCCCCGCCAATCTGCTTCCACCGCTTGAAGAAGTCGTCGGCCGAGAGGTCAGCGGGGTCCATGAACTTGTGAATGGCCACGGGTAGCTTCAAGGTGAGCGCCTGCAGCGCACCGGCAAGGTAGCTGATTCGGATCGTCGGGCTCTTCTCGAACACGTTCTTGGCCTCGAACATGATCACCTGCTGGGATTGCGCTCCTTGGGAAATGTTGCTTTCTGGAAGGCCCTTTACGTCCCACGTGAGGTTCTTCTTCTCACTCTCATCGAGGTCCAGTGTCGTTGTGAACGAGCCCATGAATGCCGGCGTCCTATTCCTGAAGTACAGGATAAGACACGCCATCTGGCCACGGTACTCAGACCGCACACCAACCTGGATCTGACCGTCCTCGAACAAGACACCGTCGGACCGAACCAGCAGCCTGTTATACCCAGGCTCCCAACCGGGCGACAAGTGAGCTGCGCTGGCCAGATTGGGCGCCTTGAGCATCTTAGGCTCGGCCGACCCGATGTTGGACATGTCAAGGCCGGCAAGGTCACTTGCCCCTCCCCCTATGCCACTTCCGTGACCGTTGGCACCTCCACCATTTGCTCCGCCATTAGCCTTAACCGTCGCCGCCGAGCTAAAGCTCCGCTTCAGGCCGCCACTGTTAACCATGCCAACCTCGGCAGCGTCAGTGTTGGCCGACTTGCCACCAACAATCCAAGTTCTCCGATCGCTAGTATTTGCATGCTTTTGGTGAAGACGCGAGAGCAGCGCAGACTGCCTTTCGGGAAACGGCGGCATCTCATCACACACTGTTCTCAGAAGGTCGTCCGTCGGCATATGCGCAAGAGCCAGGTATTCGCAAGCTCTCTGCTGAAGCTCAGCATCGATCGCGTGGCTGTAGATTTGGAAGATGTTGACGAGTTGAGGCTTGATTTCGGGGAACAAGTTGACGAATTTGATGAAGCAAGAGAGAATCATGACCCTCGTGCTTGAAGTGCATGCGCCGAGCTTTCCCTGCAAAGCAAGGAGCTGCTCGATCGGGCTGCATCTGGGCTGATCGGCGATAAGGTGGCCAAACTCGCCGAGGATATAGGAACCAATCTTGACCAAGGTCTCGTGGCAGTGGTCCTGCTTGACATACTGCAGCGAATGCTGCGCCGCGTAGACTTGGAGTTCTTCGTTATTCGTCACGATTTGGATTACTCGTTGCCAAACTTCATCGCTAACGTGATCGCCAGCCATAGCGATCAGCCTCAACGAGATGTCCACGTACCACTTGATATCGGTGGCGTATTTCTCCGTCAGAATCGCAATCTTCAGCACCATCTCCTCCCGGATGGCGAAGTCGGCATTCTGAAGATATTGGAGAAGCTCGCCCACGATAACCCTCGCGTTGGTGAAGTCGCACATGCTGTACAAGAGGTCGAGTCCCTTTCTCCGAACACTGATGTCCCTATCCTTCAAAGAGCCAAGGATTATCTCTTGGTGTTGCTTGATAGGATCTAAGTTCTCCGCCCGCGCTGCCAAATGGGTCATAGCTTCCAACCCAAGGTATCGGATGTTGGTCTCGCGCGATTGGATGAACTTTCCTAGACGCGATGAAATCTGCTTCATAAGCGTTTCTTCCGTGTCGAGGTGGATGATAAGGTTAATAGCCTCAAACAAGACAGCGTTCTGCGCGTTGTTCTGTTGTACGTTCTTGGTCGGCTCCATAGCCACATCAAGAACCTTTTGAAGGGAATCCCGAATCATTGTACGGGTGTGAGTGTCATCTGTAGGCTCTATTGTTAGTGACCGCTTCACCACTCACTGGATAAGTTGTAATAATGCGAGAGTACACACCGGATGGAGGGAAGTATTGAAGCAAACGAAGAAGTTTGATCTGAAGCCAGGGGCAAGGAACCTTGTAGTAGAGGTAGTCTTGAGTGTACTCTCCATCTACGACAACACGCTTCAGTCTGGCAGCAGCTTTAGCGTACGCTCCCTTGTAATGGTCCAGGTTATCCTGGGCTAGCGTCATAACGAGCGAGGTGATGGAGAGCGCAACGCCGATGTCCGGGTCATCCATCAGTGATATAATACGTTCCGCCCATTGTGGCTGAACGATATCGGGATGTTTGCGGTAGAGCCGTAGAAGTGTGAGAGCGGCCTTCTTTTTCACAAATGATTTCGAGGCACTAGTTTGAAGGTTAGCCTCTCAGCAACATAAACCAAGCCGCTGCTACGAGCTAAGTCGGGTTCTTCCTATTGCTTACGGTGAGATCAAGAGCCTGTGCACTTCTCCGCTCAGGGCCTCGCCCATCTCCCGGCCTCCTACGTTGGCAATAGCATGGAGAGCAAGGCAGTTGAATAGCTCATTGTTGTCAAGGAGGTCCTTTCTTATGCTGTTGAAAACTAGGTGCAGGAGCTCATGCTTCTCGTGGAGGAACAGCGTCATGGCAAGGTAGCCAATCTGCTTTTCGGAATATTTGTTGGCCGAAATAAGATTCACCGCTTCGAGATGTCCGAAGTCGACGTTCCAGCCGAGGATATATATGTACAGGAGCTGCCCTAGTATCAGCAGCGTGTACATGGGTACGGAGCAATCCCGGTGGTGGACGGAGAATACACACCTTGCACACGTATTTCTTTTTATGGTACCCGCTCAAGTTCCCATCTACAAGACGAACAAGTTCATGTTAGTGACCACTCGGGGAGTCCGTTATACCAAACAAAGCAGAGAGTTGGTCGACAGTCACCTTTGAACTTTTGACTATACGTACACCGCATGGTTAGCAGAGAGCAACTTCTGGTGACTCGCACCACAATCCACCAAAGACCATGCTCACCGAATATTAGCCAGCTCTTTATTGATTCTCTTCTCCTCCAACTCGCGGGCCCTAGCGTTCCTCAGATCGGCGATGAACTGCACGAGGCCGCGCATGTTGGAGTTGCTATTGGCCGAACGGCCCAGAAAACTGCCCCCAGAGCTCGACATGGTGTACGGATGATGGGCCGATGAAGGGGAGCTTCGGATTGCCTTCGCCTTCTGAGCTCGAACTTCCCCTTTGCAACACTAAAATCTATCACACAGAGTAGCCGTATCTGCCTGCGATGCCCAAGCTCTATAGAATTCCTAGACCGGATGGACCACCACTTATACGCACGCCTTTCCAGCACGAACTAGCAGTCCATGAGCGTCTGACGTCGGGGTAGAAATAAATTCGTGGTGTCAAGAGGGTCAGGCTCGCCCAAAGCAAAAATTCGAGCGTCGAGTGGAGTACCGGTCGCTTAAAGTCGTGAGGAGGCGGCGGGTGTCGTCTCCTGCAAGGATGCGATGTCGGGAATGCCGGGAAATAGGGGGTCACGGTAAAGCTTGATGTAATTCAACCCAGAAGGGCACCCGGACCGGCTTGTCACTATTCGCTCAAGGGATAGAGTAAAGCAATGCAATTCGCTTGGAATATGTCGCGAAATACGCCGACACAAACGTATTGAGAACTCTTCCTCTAGTATGCGCCTCGAGGGTGCGAGATTCTTTTGTCAGTCGTCGATCGAGGGAGGGATTCGTCGTGTGGGGATGTCGGGTCTCGACTCTAGCTCTCGTTGCTGGTATCGTCGGGTTGAGTGATCAGCGACAAAGGGGGGGGTTGATATACACTGCAATGTAGCCCGGGATGGCAATATATACGGGGGAACGGCACACGAGCGCCAGCAGACTTCTCTACCGCATCAATCCACGTCTGGAAAGCTAATCCAAGGGACAAGTAGGTCTGTCTGGAGTCGGGGTCTAGTTCCCAGAAAACGTGACCGAAGAAGTGGAGAGACCCCTATGGACTTACGAAGGAGCCCACCTCATCCAGACTTCGATCGTTCTTGACATTTTGAATTGCAGGACCGTGCGTCAATAGTTATGCAAGTTTCCCCCCTGTTTCCGCCCCGTTTACTCCATATTAAACGTTAATCAATTCCTGCTTCGTGCCTCCCAGTTTCTTATCGATAAGAGCTCCAATCACCCAAAAATAACCCAGCCAAGAAAGATTGAATCTCGAGATCAATTATGAATTGAGTCCTCGTCAATCGCCCGCCCCTCCAGAGAACAAGGTGCAACTTCGAGGTAGCCTGTCTACCCACACGCAGATGTGGTGGCACTGAAACCCAACTCCCTGCCCACAATGAGCCAAACCCTGCGATTCTTCCGCGCGGCGACCGGATTACGGCTGGATACCCTCGTCTGCACGCGGGCATTCGCGACACAAGCACCTGGAGCGCCTAGGTTCCAAGTCTTCAATCGGCGGACTAAATGGCTTCAGAAGGAGCGCGCTGCGTCAGATGTAGAAAATAGTCGGGTGGCAGATTACCTCAAGGATGAAGTCGCCATCAGGCTATGTGAAAGGCTGCTGGTACGTCCGATTATGGCATTGGCCTCGCATCGAGGGTCATAAAAAAAATCCTAACGGTAGCTCCAACACAGGATATCAAGCGGGAATTCCCCAAGGTCCTTGATCTAGGCGCCAATTCCTGCAATATCGCCCGGGCCCTCACGAGGGAGAACCCCGATCCCGACCCAGACAATCCCATCTCCGACCCCATCGCGAAAAGAGTCACAGAGTTAATCGCCGCGGATTCCTCTGAGAAAATGCTCTACCGTGACGCCGACTTACCCTTCAACAAAGAGATAAACATTACGCGTCAAGTTCTCGCCGATGAGGAGAGCCTCCCTTACGATTCAGAGACGTTTGACCTCGTGCTGAGCTCGCTCAGCATGCACTGGATCAATGATCTACCCGGTGTTCTCTCGCAGATCAACAACATTTTGAAGAAAGATTGCGCCTTCATGGGCGCGATGCTTGGTGGCGACACGTTATTCGAACTTCGCACGTCACTCCAGCTCGCAGAGCAAGAGAGGCTTGGCGGCATCTCCCCTCATGTATCCCCCCTGGCCGACGTCAGAGATGTGGGTGGCCTGCTACAAAAGGCCGGCTTCAAGATGTTGACCGTCGACGTTGATGACATCATTGTCGACTACCCCAACATGTTTGCTTTGATGCAAGATCTGCAGGCCATGGGTGAGGGTAACGCTATCCTAGGTCGGGAGATGGGCCCCATTGGGAGGGACGTTCTCCTTGCGGGCGAAGCTATCTACCGCGAGCTTCACGGAAACGAGGACGGCAGTCTCCCGGCCACGTTTAGGATTATATATATGATCGGATGGCGTGAAGGCGAGAATCAAGCGAAGCCTTTGGCAAGGGGTAGTGGCCAGGTCAACCTCAAGGACATCTTGGAACAAAAATAAGCCGGGTGCGGAGATTTGATTAACATATATTCTTGTATAAAGCCGCGTGATTTTTCATGTCTTTACAAACCACGCCCCAGGCATAGCCTGTGTGTAACAATACCAGCCATAAAAAGCACACGAACAACAGAAACCATCGACATGACAACCTTAAATAGCCTCACTGCACTTGAACATGTACTACGAAATCAATTGAAAACGCCTGGCCAAGTCTCTGCTAACCCGCATTTTTCCGTCCCCGTCCAATGTATGCTCAAGAAATGCATCGATCCCCGCTTCCGTCTAGACTCTCCTGAAATCAGTCATACACCTCACAATCGACCCCAGCCCAGCAACCTCGACAGCCTTCTCATGCCAGCTAAGAAGCACGCTCATAGCAGCAGTAACAGATTCGTTCGCCGCGCCTGGCCTCGACCCTACTTGGCTGAATCCACCGGTGGCCTGTGGAATGATGCGGGTAGGACTCCTAGGCCCAGGCCCCGCAGATCCGGCAGCCATGCCTTTGTACCTTTTGACACGCCAACGTTAGCGGACTTTGAAAGGAAGAGTTCGAATTTGTGTGGATTTCCATACAAGTATTTCACGAGAACATCCAAAAGCTCACTTCCTCCCTCCGATCCGTAGATGCGGTTAAGTAGCGGGGTCATTTCGCTTGCCTTGATCGACTGGAGTACCTCGGTGATAGTCTGCAGATGCGCATCCTGTTGACAAAAACAAAATCAAGTCAGCTCAAGGCTTCACCCCGTAGAGTCCCCATTGTGGATAGAACCAAAAATCAACAACCTGCCTTTGCGGCGTCGCTGCCATTGTAAACCGGAAACTCCAAACATCCCCTAAGCGCACCCTCCGCATCACCACCCCTAAGTAGCTGCCTAACCTGCTGGGCGAGCCCGCGAACATCGCTTTCGGAGATTTCGGGCTGCGGGGGAGATAATGTGGACGTATCGAAGTTGAGGGGCGAGTCCTCTTCTAGGGCATCGATGTTGATTGTGCGCCAGGCGTCGCCGAGCGTCGCCTCGGAGTGCTGCTGGATGATGGACATGGTGGTTCTGGAGCTTCCCCCTTAACAAAGGTAGGATTGGGGAGATGTCGTCGGGAGAGGAGAGGATTCGGTTGGGTTGAAGAGACTAGGTTCCCTTCGGAGTTACCTCGTCTCTGTTGTGTCTCGTGGAAATCGAGTAGGCGGATGCAGGTGGACAGCTTGGGGTTGTTTCGTGGCGGGGTTCGGTGTGGCAGGTGCTTGAGGCTGCTAGCACCCCGCCCAGTGAGGATCATCACCAGCAGTTCAACGTCCTAAAATGACTTAGTAATCAACCGGTCCCCAAGGCACTGTCTTATCCACAGTATGGTTTGGTTCTATCTACACCGTCTGCGTGTAAGTGAGCGCCAAGTTCAACATCGTTCAACCTGGTCAGACTCAACGCCCCCCAAGTAGTGACGCCAAACTTATAGAGAAGTGGGCTCAAATTAAGAGGCAGGGGAACTCATCAAGTTGCGTCACAAGCCTCTGATTCTCCAGGTTTAAAAATCGCCAATCTAACCCGGAATTGCCATTGCCAGCGTGAAGAAACCCATATCTCGAGGTCGCGAGAAGTCTTTTGATGCTGGGTGTCTTGGACCTCTTGTACATTATTGTACTGCTTTGTGTCTTATGGGTAGCTCTCTTTACGATGGAAAGCTGTAAAATTTTTGTATCGTTCTACGCAATGGCCAGCCGATCCCATACTTCACATCAAGACCTTCCAGTATGCCGAGAGGAGATCAAGAAAAGGTATTTGATCACTCTGTGTTCTAGCTCGGAAGAGAATGCACCTCGGCATTAGAATCAGAGGCCTGTTCATCAGACTAGTTGCCTCTTAAAAGACTTCATTGAATTGCGAAATTAGAGATCAAGGTAGGAATCTAGTCCCTCACCGTCGACATCGAATATGAAGGCTCTTGAGACGCTTAGGGTTCAGCTTGCTACTGGTAATGGAACTCGGTTATTCACTTACCTCTTAGTTGTTTCTGTATTGTCATGCCGTAGGCTTTTTATTTGCAAAATGGCCACGAGCTAAATACTGCTCTAGCATATCTCGAACCTCATTCTTGCATCTCTAGAAGATAACCTGAATACAGCATCCACTGAAGTCGTGCCCACCACGGATCGACACGTACAGGAACAGAGAGTCATACCCTGTAGCAGAAAACGGCAATATCTTGACTCTTCACCGGAGTTTCCGCTTTTCAAGGCCGAATATGCTCGGGAAGACCCTCTGTCCTGGCGTGGGAAGGAACCAACAATGTTAAGGTGGTAATATCTTTTAGCTGAGTCTTCCTAATTCCTTCTTAAGGTGTTCGTAATACATGGAAAAGCTGTGTTGGGAATTAGGCAAGACTAGGCCCTCACAATGATTCAAGGACCTGGACTCAACGGACCTGTTCTTCAGGAGCAGATTAGGCCCAGGACTAGCTACACCTCCAGCTGAACAAACTACCTAGCAAATGGTATGACTACACCTTCCATTTGACCTAGCTTGGATTGACATGAAAGCTTCCATACCTTCCAGGGATTAACTGTATAGAGACCTGCCGTTCTAGTAGTCAAAGTTGCTACACCGGTTCTGCGATGTTCCTAATCCTATCTTTTTAACACCGAGGTCCGAATCACGAGCCTTGCACAGTCAATATACGACGAGAGCACAGTTAGGTCCAGACGGAGGACAGTGTTCACGGAATCAAAGTGAAGAGAATATATATAGTTGACCGCATTAGTCTCGCGTTTGGGCGGACTCAATGCCTCCCAATATATTTCCGGTCTCTTGACAGGTACTTTGCCTTCTGGAAGCCTGATACACGGAACACTCAAAAAATACACTCTGGAATGGATCGGCAAGTAAGATATCGACACGAGGACTTAAGAATGAGGAGCTGTGGCCAACTTAGAGCTATTTGTGCCCTCCTTGGGCTGCAACGTGAAAGTGCCCAGGCTTCTCGATGCCAAGAATGTTCCGGCCTTTCTGCTGCACATTCACTCTACGGCGTGCTCTCTGCACGATGCCTTGAATCTACCTTCGTCTTCATCTGCGCCTCATGTGCGAAAGTGCCGGAGGGAGTGGGCATATCAACGTGTATGACAGATGGTGCGGTCGACTCCATCAATAGAGGAACATCAGGACCTCCGGCGCCCGCGGAAACTAAACTAGAACACTAGGAAATAGATATTCGCCACAGGGCGGAGAGGAACGCCGGGCGATGTGAAGGGGAAGAGTTTCTTCACTTCCTCTCTCACTTTGAACGGACAGGACTAAACTACGTGAAGGAGGCCTCAAGCGCAATTCGAGTCTCTGCATCACTGTTACAGTTTCCCCAATCATTTTTGCTCATTCTTCACAAAATACGTGCTTAAGGAATGCTTGCAATGCCACAGGTAAGTACATTCGCCCGTAGATCTTGGGATGTTTTCGTTTCTCTTCTTTTTCTCATTCCTCAGCAATAAGCATCATACAAATTACCTATCCAAAGGCGTGTATATCACCAGGTAATTGCCTTCCCTCCCCAGCTCTCCAAAAAAATCTCTCAATATATTCAAGATGAAGGGATATATTCCCTCATAACAGCTTGGTTCAAATTGCCCGAGTCGTCTGACCGACGATGACGGACGGTGCGTAACGATCTCCACACGTCGGGATTCACGGATAGGCGGAAAGCAAAAAAAGGCAGAAGAAAAAAAGAGTCAACGGGAGGGAGAATGTACCTCGCATAGACGATCTGGGGTGCCTCTTCTGCCCTAAGGGAGTGTGCTGCTCTTGGAATTACGGGGTATTATCCGTCGCATCTCTGGAGATCAAGAAACAGCATCGCTACCGCAGGCCGTAATCAGGCAAGCGGTAATTCCAGAAAGAGAAAAGTGCCCCAACCGAACACCGGGAGTCTGAGGAACGGGTCGCATCTCAAAGTCGTATCCTGGCACCGTTTTGGGCAATGAGACAGCGCTCACACTGCCGTTTTGGGTCGAGCTTCATCCTTCATGTCGGCTTTTGCGTCTCAACGAGGGCAAAATTTTCTGGTAATATTACTCGTAACTCACCGAACCAAGGTACCATTTTGATGGACGTCCGCGCACTCACCGGTCGCGTAAAACCTTTCTTCATCATCCGTTCGCTAAGTATGGCCGCAATTAGAATTAATATGCGTGAGACTTTTGGTTGACAGGATGTGGACGGGACGTGTATCGATCCAGAGCGACGAGATCCTGCCTGTCCAGTGGCTGATAGAGCCCGCATATGGCCAAGCTGACCCGAGCTGTATCTTTCACATATTGTCTCGGTTGGTGTGGACGGGCACAGAGGATCTAGCGCTTCTCCGAGCTCGTCGTCGGTCTCCCACAAGTTTATCAAAAGCAGATGCTCGAGGCTCTGAGTTGTCCAGTCCTGGCTGGACCGTGACACGAACATGCCACCAAATCTAGGGCATCGGCAAAATCTGGAGTTCTATCTCCTTCCCGAGACAAGAATTAATACCGGTAATCCTATCTTTTCCCGCCTGCCGTGATTTCTTTTTCGTCCCGTCTTGCCCCTTCGTTCCCATCCTCTTCCGGAGATCAACAATATCCATCAAACAAGTTTGCCCGTTCGCATGCAACGAGATTGGGCACTCATACCACCAATCCGTCGCAGGTAGCTCCCTCATTTATTTTTTCCATCCTCCCTGCGGCACGACGTTGTCAGAGAGTGGATCTTGAAGTCTTTGCGTTCAGGGAGGCAGGGCCAACAAGGTGAGACGGATCGGTAGCCAATCCCTATTTCTCCGTTTCTCGAAATTCCTTGGCCCTAAAATTTTGCCCGCCTGGCAAGGGAGGCTGAAGGCGATCAGCAACAAAGGAACACTCAATGAATAATGAATGGAGCAAGAGAGAAAATTTTTAAAATTAGCCCGTGCCTGTTGCTTCGGAATGATCAGCACGCGCGTGGAACTCCTGCAACGTAGCTGCAAGGCGGAAGCCATCCCCGGTGCCATGAGGCTCGCTTGGCATCTTCCGGCCCCCAAGTGTTTCTTCACTCACGCGTATCTTTACGAAGCATTAATGCTTCGTATACGGACACCGTGCCAGACTGTATTTGCTGCAGGTACGGAGTGCTTGGACTGTTTGGACTATTAATACTTCGTACGAATGAATACTGGTGCACTAACAATCTAATTCCCGCGCTCGGATACGCGTCCCAACTTCTGGAGAGGTTCTCCACGAGTGTAGCCTATGAGTCAATTCACTTCTTACACCCCTACAAGCAAAACCCCAGAAACTACGGGTTCACCGAGCCAAACAGCTTGTCCCTGGTATTAGTCCTCTCGTTGTATGTTTCGCAACGTCGTGATGGAAGTGTCGTCCCCGCTTGGTTGGCACTGAGCAGGGCGAGTTCATTACACGCCTGGCTGTCGAACATGTTTGGTCAAGGGGCAAGACGATGCTGCTTCAAAGATTGTAGGACAAAGGGTCTGTCACCAGCGGAGTGGGGCGCTGGATTGGATGAGCCTGAGGACCATCAATTTAGCCCCTGATCCTTCGCGTGGTCCAGTCGCACTGGGTTCTTCTGGAAGGCGAAGAATTGGAAACCATCCCTGTAAAGTACCACGAGTTAATCACGGGGATTTCCCTTTCGAGACTCCTCTCTCTTTTTTAGGAACGGGGAGGTTGCTGGGGGGAACCTCGGCCCCTAATTTCCCGCCCACACGGATCGGATAGGTGGATTCAAGTTCCTTGAAATGCTACCTCGTAGCGTTGGAACTGGTAAAAGTTGAGTTTATGCTATTGTCATCGCAAGACTTACGGAGGCTAGTGGGCCACTAGCCACCTCGAGCTAAGCACTGCTGAGGATATTCTGTCTGGTTGGTGTCTTGACTTTAATAAATCGAGGCTAGGATTTGCCTGCCTGTCTGCATGACCTTGACAATCGACAGAGCGAACATACGCTTCTCAGCCATAAGAAAGTGTCTTGGGAGGATGAGCCGTAGGCCCGAGGAGTTGTTCAAGTTGAGTTCGACACGGGGTGGCCTCATACCTGC